CGCACAAAAAGTGGAAGGTAGGGACATAAATGCCAAGAAATAAAAGGTAGAGACGGTTTTCGAAATCAATCCCAAAGGTAAGGATGTTTTGTGCCAATTACCCTTTATTTATTTGTAGTTGTATATTTAACATATCTTTCACATTAGATTCATTCCTATTTAAAAGTTTAGTACATAAGATTTTTATGAAGGGTGACAATAATAATGAATGACCAACTCATTTAAAAATAAAAGGGGTAATTTTCCCTATCTATATTTATATTTTTACATGTTTTTACAGCATATCAAATTCAATATTTCATGTAGTAAAATAGACAATCGTAAAACTTTAACATCTTAGCATATTCCAATTCCACGCTATTTAATCCTCGCATCTTAAACTACATTGTAACAAAAATAAAATTAAATTAAGTTTACATATTTATATTTAGATTTTCAATACTATTTTCCGAAAATACGACACATAAGTGCATCTTATTTTAAAATTTTTAAAGTGTCATTTCAAGGCGGATTAGGATAAGAAGCTTTGATATGGGCGCAAGAACATTAATTAATTAATTAAACTTTATAATCACTTTTTCTTTAGTTGAGCTCAAGGAATGTTGAGACATGCCAATGAGTTTCTAGAAGCTTTTTTTCTTCTATAATTTGATATTATCGGTTAGGTTTGAAGGATCCTAGTTATGGTTTGGTATAGATTAAAATTAGATTTTTAAACCCTGTTTGATACACATTTTTTAAAAATATATTTTTTCAAAATTCATTTTCAACCACACATTCTTCAATTAAATAATATTTTTCATCATATCAATAGTTTTTCATTACTTTTTAACTATATATTTCTCATCATATCATTATTTAAAATACATTCCTTCGTCAATAATATCTATCAAACACACCGTTAATAAATTTTGATGAAAAATTTGATTGAGAAGTTAATTGTTAATTTAAATTTTAAATTAGATGTTAATCTATACCAATTGGGACTATATTGAAAGTCT